GTCCATTAGTCCCTTGGACTAATTGTTTCCATGTGTCTTTGGTTTTCTTCATTCTTCTTTGCTCCAGACAAGGAGAAACCAATTTTCCACTTTGCATGGTTGCTTGCATGCTTTTAAGACCCCAGTTGCTACTCACCAAAGTAGGATTTAGAATAATGTTTTTGTGTACTACATTATGCCAATTTAACTCTATGTCCCCTGAGACCATGGCTCCAAGCCCATGGACCCAGTGACCCACTCCCTCAGGGTATTTTTGCCTGGTAATTTTTAATTGAATGTCAGATATTATATGTGGAATACTGTAGAAGCTCTAGGTGATTTATCTTCCACCTGAAAAGATTTCATTTTCTTTGGAGACAATGAGCTTTCAAATCTTAGGTGCACAGGTCAATTACCAATGCTTTCAAGTGGCTGTTTTCTTAATTTTATCAAGCTTTCATAGTTATCCTTAGTGAAGGGGTTTGTCATACCAGCTACTTTGTCAGCTGAAAGTGGAATTCTGTCCTTTACTTTTTCAAAAAGCTATTCACTTGGCTTCTTGAACTCCACTTTCTACTAGTTGTCATCTTACTTCTCTGGTTATTACTTTTCAGTCTTCGGTGGTGGCTGTTGCTCCTCTTTCAACTATCTTATAAATGTTGGAGAGTCCCATAGGTCATGTCATAGGTATATTCTCCTTAGACACTTACTCTTTAATGCCCAGTAACCCATATATAGTTCGATAGCATTAAAAAGCATTTTATATGCTGAGACTAACTGAAGGTACAAACAATTCTCTTTTGCAATCCTAGACTCCAAGAGTTCTGTGCCTTGAGTGGAATGAAGGAGTAATACTCCTACACAATATAAAATTATTCTCTCATGATTATTATGTATATATTAGAATTTATGAAAGTTAAAGTAATATGGGATTTAATATTGCCATATTGCTTATTAACCCCATAACTCTTAAAATGTGTTTCATACAGATCTTTCTAAATGTTTCTCTTAGTTTCACTAGCATGAATTCACCAGATTTTTTTAAACCATTTTTTCTTAGGATAGAGTTCATAGGAATTTGAAAACATTTTGGACTGATGTAAGAAGAAAACTAATCCAATAATTAGTTCCTTTTTGGCTCCATATTTTTCATAGAATATATTGACAAAGTTCCCCCAAACCATGTTGGCAAATGAACATCTAGAAAGGTGATTGGTATAAGAAAATATTAAATTTCAAGTATTTTCCATTTTCTGCTGTCCTTCCACTTCTCAGAAAGTGATTTTCTTGATTTTCCCAAAAGGTAGTTATTTTGTTGGTGGACGGAAGTGAAATTAGAGAAGGAGCTCTGGTGGCATAGTGCCTAAGGCACTTGACTGCTACCCAGAAGGCTGGGGGTTCAAACCCACCAGCCACTCCTCAGAAGGAAGGTTGGGCAATCTACTTCTGTAATGATACTGCCTCAGAAACCCAATGAGGGGTTGCTATGAGTCGAGTCTGCCTCAACAGCACATAACAACAGCATTTTTATTTCTGGTGTTTTTGTTTGTTTACTTGTTTTTGAGGTTCCCTCCCCTAATGTTACTACCTTTTAAGATTTTCTTGTGGGGACAGAAGGGATTGAAAAGCCTAATTGAGTTGTGTTTTTGAATATAATTTCCCAGGAACTGAGGAGAATCATAACAAAGAAACAAACACAAGTAGATTACACTTTTAGGCTTGGAAAGTGGAACTTTATTCAGAAACAACAGCAATAAGATACAGAAACATTGTTGTAAAGAGAAATACAGGATAGTGCCATCAGACTTTCTGACCTGAGGATGGGGAGTCAGATTCTGTGGGTAATTTCCATATTGAAGCAGGATGACCTGACACCCAGAAATCAAAACACAGGTTGTGGAATTTGAGTGATTCTATTAGTTGCTTGCTCTAAATGCATCTCCTCCCAGAGGTATACTTTGGGTCTGTATAGGAAGAAAAGTCAACAAAGGACAGTGCTTGACCCGAGACTAGGGTGTAGACAAACAATGGTGACAGTAGCCTCTCTTACATTGAGGTGCCCAGGGTTTGCTTCTGTGAGGAGGGAGATGAAGAGAGAGGATGGGTTCAGGGCAAGGGATCAGCAGCAAGAACAGGTACTGCAGGTGGGGTGTGGACCAGTGGACATGATGACACAGGTTGGAGGATAACAGGTGGTGTCTGGAGACTTGGCCACAACTGGGCAGAGGGAGCAGCAGGATGAGCAGCAGCAGCTGGAGATGGAAAGACAGCAGGTGGAAACACAACAGTTAGGGTGGCAGCAGGTGGTCGTGTATCAGGTACTCTGGCAGCAGCTGGGGTGGTAGCAGGTCTCATGGCAGAGTGATAGAAGAGACACGGGCACTTGGATGACTTCATGCCAGGTCATACCAAGTGGGCTTAAAAATATTCTTTGCATTGGTCGAGGAGCTCTGGTGGTATAGAAGATTGTTGGTTTAAACCTACCAGCCACTCCGTGGGAGGAGGACTGGACAATCTATTTCTGTAAAGATTTACTGCCTTGGAAACCCAAAAGGGGTCGTTATAAGTCAGAATTGACTCAATGGCAGTGAGTTTGGTTTTTTGGTTTTTGCATTGGTCATAGAAGGACATGCAAACTCTACAATTGGAGTTTAATGGTGCTTGAATGGATGAATGCCATTAATTTGTGTGTCAAGGCAGGGTTTACTAACACCAGCAAAAGACCACACAAACACACACTCTAACAGTGTATAGGAAATGGTTTACTCCATAGAGAAGAGACAGAGTGAGATCAGCTTCACTGGTGGACACTGGTGTACCATGGCCAGCAGGCTCATCCCACTTATGGCTGTGCAGAGTAGATGTTCTCAATTCACCCCTCTTATGCCATGGTTCAGAGACCCTACTCCTTCCCCACTGGGAGCAGATATGGAAGTGGCATTGGCCAGGTGCCACATGATACCCATACATGTGAAAAGGTCCTGTGTGCCCAGAGCAGGGGGAAGGCTTTTCTGATAAGGTGAAGGAACTGAGAAAGAGGGAGATGGTGACCCAGTTCCTAGCCTCCTCATCACAGACTATTCTGGGCATAAGGTCTTTACTCAGGTAACCTGGATGGGAGGTGTTGTGGATTGAACGTTGTCCCTCCAAATACGTGTCAACTTGGTTAGGTAATGATTCTCAGTATTATGTAATTATCCTCCATTTTGTAATCTGATATAATTATCCCATGTGTTGTAAGTCCTACTTCTATAAAGTTAATGAAGCAAGAATAGAATCAGTTATGTTACTGAGGCAGGATACAATCTACAGGATTAAGTTGTATCTTGAGTGAATCTCTTTTGAGATATAAAAGAAATTCAATAAGCAGAGAGGGAGGGACCTGAGACCACCAAGAAAGAAGAGCTGGGACCCAAAGTACCTGTGCTGAGAACTTCTTAGACCTGGGAGAAGACTGATGCTAAGACAAGTGGAGATCTCCAAGGGATGCTGGGCCCACAGGCATTGAAAGGTGACAAGGACCTTTCCCCAGAGCCAACAAAAAGAGAAATCTTTCCCCTAGAGCTGTCACCTGAGTTCAGACTTCTAGCCTCCTAAACTGACAGAGAATAAATTTCTGTTTGTAAAAACCAACCACTTGTAGTATTTCTGTTGTAGCAGCACTAGATAACAAAACAGGAGGCATAGAAGCAGATCTTTCCCTCAACAGCCCCTCAAAAATAGCACCTAACTAGGATTTCCAACTAAACTTCTATTACCTTCCTTCCCATAGCTGACATGTACCATCCGTCATACTGACTGTTTTCCCACTGCATCTGCAATGTCACGCTGAAATCCCTGGCTCCTGTCTTCTCATAGGTTCCATTATAATTAGTCTCATTCCATGAATTTATCATGACATGCCCTCCTCCTTAAAATGACCATAATGTCTTTTGGTACCTTTCTAAATAATAATAATAATTACCTTCATAATATAAACTCTTATTATCTGATCCTCTCCTTCATGTTGTTTGTGAGTTATACTTATTCCCCTGAATTTTCAGACTTGACACATTTTATTTCTCTGAATCAATCCTTACATATTACTCTTGTCTGACACTTTCCTCTTTCTTACCAACATACTCTACCTGACATGTTGTTGTTGTTATGTGCCATCGAGTCGGACCCAGCTCATAGTGACCCCTCCTTGAGTTTCTGAGGCAGTATCCCTACGGAAATAGATTGCCCAACCTTCCTTCCGAGGAGTGGCTGGTGGGTTTGAACCACCAGCCTTCTGGTTAGCAGTCAAGTGCCATAGGAAGTATGCTACCTGACATAGACCTTCCTTTTAAATCCAAGATCTCATTGTGAGTTACCTAAGGGATGGAAACTGGGTCTCATTCATGTTATGTGTTCCCAAGAACCCAGTGGTGCAAGGACCCTGCCAGGTGACCCATAACTCACTAGAGTCCCAAGGAAGTTTTTGTTTTCTCTCAATAGACCTGACAGCAAGTGAAGTGGGCAATCTGGTTTTGGGAAAAAAAAATAATTCTTTGGCTTTGGTTTATATTTGCAGAATCAGTTTTCTCTGCTTATGTGACAGAAATTCAAGCTTAACTCCAAATAAATAATCAACACTAAAAAGTAACTAAGGACCACAAATGTTTCTGATACCAAGATAGTAAATATTTATTGAGATATAGTTACTCCATTAGACATAATTTATTGTGAAGGTCAAGCCATGCACAGCAGTCATAGACTAGGAACCTCTTCCAATTGAGAAGTGTAAACATTTGGCATCTAGATGAATGTTAGGGCAATAGACAGAGAACTTGGAGTTTTGTGTGGTATTTAGTTTAAATTGTTGCTTTTTAAATAGTTGCTTGATAGCATGACCAGCACATGTCGTATGTTGGTCATGCACATGTCAACACAGTGACAGTTTAGAACAAGGCCAGGTGCTGTGAAGAAAGGAAATATGAATAAGACTGCTATATTGGCATCATGATGGGTGACTCAGGGCTGGTGATCATGAATGAAGTTCAGCAAGAGGATCCACAGCAGCTTGGGCGACAGCAGGTGCTACGGCAGCAGGTAGTCTGGCAGCAGATTGGACGACAGCAGCTGGGACGGCAGCAGCTGGATACACAGCAGGTAGGGCGGCAGCAGCTGGAAGTACAGCAGCTGGGACGGCAGCAGGTGGGCCTGCCACAGCTGGACACACAGCAGCTGGGCCTGCAGCAGATGGACACACAGCAGCTGGGTCTGCAGCAGGTGGTCCTGCAGCAGGTGGTCTGACAGCAGCTGGGTTGGCAGCAGGTCTCTTGACAGTGGCCTTGGCCACAGCCCTGGTCAGAGCAGATGGAGCCACAACAGGAGTTGACCATGGTGTCAGAGGGTGGAGGTTCTGGGTGTGTTTCTGGGAATGTAGGTGTCTAGAGTTTGGAAGTCTCCTTGCCCCATGTCCCCTTTAATACCCTGCTGATGGACTTCTGTCATTATGGAAAGGTTATTTCCTTGCTTTTGTTTATATGACTACAGATGCAATTAGTAAATTATATTGTTGTATTTTTCTAGTAAAAAGTCCAAATAGATAGAAAATTGTTATTTCCTTTTCTTAAATTCCCTGATATTTCCGTAAGAATCACCACATGTCTTTCTCCCTTTGCTTTCAGTATCATGTGACTTTGGCTCCAGGATATCACATGACATGGACAGGTCACTCTCACTTGCCTGTTTCTCACCTTTGTATGAACTTGGGAGAAGTTCTGATGGGCGCATATGGCTAGTGGAGAAATGTCTGTCAATACAGATGGAATGCTGGAAGGAAAAAAGAAAGTAGAGTGTTTTTTATGAGTGTAAGAAATGAGGAAAATTATGTTCAGTGTGTGGGTCCTGGGAACCCTTGTGGTGCAATTTTTAAGCACTTAGCTGCTAACTGAAAGTTTCACAGTTCAAACCCACCAGCTACTCTGCAGGAGAAAGATGGCAGCATGCTTCTGTAGAGATTACAGCCTCGGAAACCCTATGGGGCAGTTCTACCCTGTCCTTTAGAGTCACTGTGAGTTGGAGTCAACTCTATGGCAGTGTGTGTGTGTGTGTTAGTTATAGGTGGTCAGTGCACTAATGAAATTTCTAAGACCTTCACATCTCCCTGATATACCTTGAAATATTTAGTAACAACTTAGCTTTTTTTTTTTTTTTTTAAGTACCAAAAAACTAATCTGAGACTGATCTGTCTTCAGAAGTGTCCTAAGCTGGGGCAGGGTATTTAGGACAATAGTTTTTTATCTGCCTTCTAAAATACCAAAAATATACTGTGGTTTATACTTCATGGAAATTTTATTAAGATGTTTTTCATATATACTGAGCTAAAAGTCTAGCCATTTTTGTAGTATCATTCATGTCTAAGGTTTTCTTAGAAGTATTAAGAAAAATAGACATATTCTTTATCTTACGTGTACTGACACAGAAATTGCATCCCTAGAGTTTTATAATCGAAGTCTCATATGATTATGGTCCCAAGTAAGAGGCTTCTTTAGTATCATAGGCATTCAGGGAAAAAAAAAAAATTCTTCAAGGAAAGAACAAGCTACTTTCATGGTGTTATCTCTGCAGTCAAACTGATTAATTTTTCTTTTATGGCTTCTGGGCTTTGTGTCTTACTTTGAAACATCTTTCCAGTTGAAAACTTAAATAAAAATTCTCCCATTATTTCTTATGGTGAATCCAAGGCTTTAGGTTTTATATTTTTAAATATTTGAATCATTTGGAATTTATTCACATGTAAGATGTGAAGTTTAAATATGTGTTTTAAGCAGATACGACCAGTTGCCCAACACAATTAAGCAATACTTCTTTTCCCTGCTGATTTAAAACCTCACCTTTTAATAGACTTAGGTTCTATTTCTGGACTTGGTTTCTAATTCATTAATTTTTCATGTGCTAGTACTTCAATCTTCAGTGTATAGTACTAACTTGCTCTTAATGGTTATCAAACCCAAGTTCACCTCTCTAGAAATGATGGCAATATACTGGTGAACTCAGATACCAATGTGGCACATTGGTAAACGTATACTAGGTTCGATGCCATGAGCATGTAAAACTATGCTCTTCGGACTCTGAAACTGGAATTAAAAAGAAAGCAGTAGGCCAGTCTACAATGGTAGACCAGTTTCCCTAGACTATTACACTTACTGTAAAGTTCTTACATAGTTGGTACAGCTGAAGAAAATGGAAGAACCAACTTTTGAGTCACCAAGTGTTCACTGCTAATCACCAGGAATCATCTGCCTTACATACTGACCAGACAGCACTGGTAAAAGGGAGTCAATGAGAATTAAAATTTTTATTCTAACTCTTTCCTTAATCAAAACAATCATCTCATATTACCCTCCTGAAACTCTATTGCTTAGTATTTACTACTTAGGAGGGCTTGAGTAATCCCAAAGGTTCATTTTTAGCATGGCCAAATAAAACTGACTGAAGGTCAGACCTAGCTGCTGTTCCATTGACATGAAGTCCATCCCAGCTATACATTTGGGTAACGTTGATGTGACCACAGGATAATTACTCCAGTCATGCTTTCCCATTTGCATACTTATCTCTACCTTGGTTTTCTCTACCACAATATCTCCAGTCTCACTTTTGGACTTTCCAGAGCACCATAATTCTCCTCAATAGGAATTACTACTGTCAGTGTTGGGTTACCCAATAAGCAAAGTAAGGACAGGCTTACTTGTGCTTGTTTACTAATCTGTAGTGAACTATTTCACATTTTTTCATCACATCAAAGATTTTGCTTCTATGAATAGCTGGCATCTATCCCTGTCCCAACTCCACAACACCTTCCTAAGGAATCAAAACCTCTTTTCAAATTTGTGATCTCTGACAGGGATGGGGTACCCAGTAAACAAACTAAGTAAGGGCTTCCAGACCCAATGCTATCAAATCAGTTCTGACTCATAACAACCCTAAAGGACAGAGTAGAACTGCCCAGACTGTTTCTGAGCCTGTAAATCTTTATGGAAGTAGACTGCTTGATTTGTCTCTCATGGAGTGACTCATGGGTTCAAACTGCTGACCTTTTGGTTGGCAGCCAAATGCTTTAACCCCTGTGCCACCAGGGCTTCTCCTTAAGTATGGGCTTCCTTGTGTTTAATTACCAATCTGTAGTGAACAGTTTCACATGTTTCTCACCATTTGTTATAAATTTAAAAGATTTCTTCCATTATTTAAGTGCTTACTCAAGTTCCAAAACCTTTTATTAAGTGCCTGCTGTGTACCAAAGACTTTGCTAGATGCTGGAGATTCAAAGAGGAATAACATGGTTTCAGCTCTGGAGGTGAGGATGGGTTGAACAGTGTGGACCCATCAAGAGCATAACCACGAATCACTACTTAGAAGAGGAAGAGAAGGTGGAAGAGAGAGTGGCACCTCAGCTAGGATTTTTGCTATGTAGAAAATAAGGTTTCCAGGGAGTTGGACAGAATTGCAAAGAACAGAGTCTTGAAAATGTAGCACAGAGCTTAGTGCAATGAGGGAGGTGGAAGAGTGGCTGGCAATGAGGTTGGAAAGGTAGGTTGTGAGAAGGGTATTGACACGATGCTAAGGAGTTTGGGCTACATGCTGAGTGCACCAGGGACACTACACTGGCAGATGCCTTTGATCTTAAGGCCCTGCCCTAATCCTGCCTGTAGCACAAGAAATCTGGCAAAATGGCCATAAAGAAGAGACATAGTTCACAAGAAATCACAGTTCACCCTTCTGTTTTACATTTTGAGTCTTTTAGTATTGAAAACATGGCAAACGTATCTCCAATAATGCCAACATTTGAAACAAAATTATATAAAGAAGTAAAAGACTCCCTGATGACCTTCCTCCCATTCCTTTTACATATACAAACATATATTAAACAAACAAACAAAAAAAAAAAAACCACTGCCATTGAGTAGATCTGAGTAGAACTGCCCAAAATGGTTTCCAAGGCTGGTGGGTTTCAACTGCCAAACTTTTGGTTAGTAGCCCAATGTCTTAACCACAAGCACCACCAGAACTCCTTATGCAAATAAATCTTTGTAAAAATATATTTATACTTTTCACTCTCAGAAAGTAGGTCATAAGGTATGTTTATTCATTCAATGAGTACTTATTGAGTGTCTAAACCTTGCACTGTGTGAGCTACTGAGGATTAGGTACTGAGCAAGAGTTCATATATATTCTGGAAGGACGATATCAACAATAAGCATTGAATGAACAAGGTAATTTAAAAGAAAGATAAGCTAGGAAGACAATTAAAACACAAAACGTACAATGTGATGGGAGAGACTGGTGGGTTCTTAAGATTGGGAGGTCAAGAGTGGTGTCTCTGAAGAGGGGAATGTTTGAGTTAAGACTTGAGTACTATTAAAAAAGCCCCAGGTGATGATGTGGAGGCTGAACCTTTCAGGCACAGGAAACATCAAGTGCTAAAACCCCATGGTGTGAACAAAGCTTGGCAGGTGCCAGGGATAGGAAAACCACCAGAGTGGCTGGAGCACAGTGGATGAGGGGGCGACTGGAGAGGAATGAGTCTGGAGAGATGGGCAAGAGCCAGTTTAAGGAAAGTGATCAGATCTTTCCCATTACATTGTACTTTTTTAATCTTTATTTTAAATTATCTTGTTCATTCTTTTCTATTCTTCTTCAAGATAAGAATTTGAGATGACTTATCCTAAGTTTAAAATAAGCCATGAAGGTTCTTAAGGACAAGGGCAGTATGTTTTTATTTTTTGCTTTAAAAATATGAACAAGGGTTTATAGACTATATGGAAAGTGGATTGTAGATTAACTAGGGACTTAAGAGATGATTAATTTATTACAAGTGAAATAAGACAGTTGCTTGGACAAAAGCAGTAGTAATGGAGTTGGAGAGAAGTGAATTTATTGGGAAATATTTTGCAGACATGGTGAACAGAACTTACTGATGGCCTAGACATGGAGGGTGAGAGAAAGGAATTAATCATAGGTCATCTAAAATGTTTGTGCTAACAATTGAGCCTATGACATGCCAGTCTGGGGCAGAGGGAGACCAAGGGTTCTGTTTTGGCCATGTCAAGTTGGAAATGCATGTTAGTCACCCGAGTGACTAGCTCAAGTAAGAAGATAGCAGATGTCTGGACACATCAGGGATAAAGGTATAAATATGGTGTTCTTGGGGGTGGGTGAAACCACACAGAATAGGTGACTAGAGAAAATAGGTAAATAAAGGAAACAAGAAAGAGGGCAAAGGATGAAGCCAAGGAGTCTCTGAGCATTTAGAGGCCAAGGAAGAGAAGCTGCAGGAAATGAGAATAACAAAGGACAGCCCTTCGAATCTTTAAGTGGCACTGAGTCACAGATTTGCCTTTAAAATGATAATGAATATTGCAACTCACCTGCCAAAAAGATGGCACAAATTTACACTCTCATCACACACTTATAACCTTCAAGTTTCTACACATCCTCACCAGACTTGATGATGATCAATCTTATACCTTTTTGAGTCATCTTGTAAGAGAAAGCAGTATTTGATTTAAGTTATACTTTCTTAACTGTAAGTTAATTTAAGCATCTTTTCTTATGTCTCTTAGCCTTTTGCATTGATCATCCCTTCTCTAGCCCACCATTCACCCTTGACCTGCTCCATTCCTGCCAGTTCTACCTGTGTCCTCTGTTTCATTCTCTAAGTTATCCAGTTGCTGTAGCTCACCTCCAACTTTGACATCTCATTCTGAGGGTTTGACACACTACTTATGTATCAGAATGATCTTAGGTGCTGTGAAGAAGAGAGAAGAGTTTAGGCTTCACCCCAGACCTCCTAAGTCAGACTCTCAGAAGATGTTCTAAGAGCCACAGCCTTAGTGCTGTGTCTCCTGCCTAGGACTCTGGCTTCCTCTTCCAGTTCATAGCAGGCCCCTTCCCTCCTGATGAGGCATTGCCTTCTTTCTACTAAGCAATTTAAAGGCATATTTATCTGTAGAACACTCTCTTGTGAAATGTACCAATGGATAGCCTTGGGTTTGTGTAATAACATCCAGGAGTAAGATTCAAAATACTCAACAACCAATAGTTCAAGGTCACCAACTAATCAGAATGGACATCAGACCTAGTCCTAGAGCCCTCCTTGCAGTTAGAAGCTTTAACTTACTCATACTGGATCACAGAGATGTGGCATGGAGAAAGGAGATGGATGTTGAGAGAGCTCAGGGCTGTGACTGTTTACCAACAGAACTTCACTAACCTAACAACAAGTACAACTAAACTAGTTGGGATCAGGCTGCCCTAAGAACCCCCCTCAACCTCTGCCCTCAAGTGTCACAGTGGAGATTAAGTGGAGTAGTGGCATGAAAAAGCTTCCTTAATTTTTTTTTTTGTTTACCAAAGAAAAACTAGTCAGTCATCATAGAAAAAGCAAGAAAAAAAAGTGTTAAGAAGGGAAATAAAAGTTTCCATAATCTCATCAACCAGAGATAATTATTACTAACATGCGCAATGATTACATTAATAATTTTTATATATTTTTTTCATAATTGAGGTTATTTTTTGATAAATATAAATATTTTCAGTTATGTAAACAATATTACCAATTCCATTGGTGATTCCTGAATGTCTATTCCATTCCACATACATATTTATTCTTTGAATAGAGGAAATGTGTCAATAATTTCAAGTCAAGAAAAGGGATGAGAAGAAGGGCCAGGTGTTCAGATGATTCTATCATGCCCTACTGACACTTATTACTCAGAGCTGAACAGTCTGATGGATCTTTGCCCCCTTCCCATGCTAAGAAGTCATCTTTCTGAGATGTCCTTGTATCTGCATTGGATTTTTGCTGTAAAAATCATGGGCATGTTATGGCCCACCCATGGAGAAGAGTGACACCTGGACTACTCCGTGTCACCCTTCACATGACAACTACTCTGTGTAAGAAGGTGCAGTGTCTGTAAACATAGATGATGCCCACAAGGAAGGAATGGCAGGAGATGATTCAGGAGGAAGGAGCAGATGGGGTAAGAGTCAACACTTCAGGCTTGGAATATTTAACCAGCATCTGAGCCAAGATGATGCACTCAGCGGAAGATACACAATATGCAGTTCAGGTAGAGCCAATGTGATAAATCCTAATATATCACGCAAAGGAAGTAATGTTTATCGTTGATCTTGGAAAACGTAATTGGCTAATTTGGTAATTGCTTACTTATTAAAATAAACAATAACATTGAAAGAGCTCCCTCAGAAGGGTATAAAAGGGGGCATGAGACAAAGAGACTGCCAGATTCAAGAAATACACTCTCCTGGAAATAAACCCAGAACCTTCATCCTCTGACACCATGGTCAACTCCTGTTGTGGCTCTGTGTGCTCTGACCAGGGCTGTGGCCAAGACCTCTGCCAGGAGACCTGCTGCCAACCCAGCTGCTGCCAGACTTCCTGCTGCAGGACTACCTGCTGCCGCCCCAGCTGCTGCGAGACCACCTGCTGCAGGACCACCTGCTGTCGTCCTAGCTGCTGTGTGTCCAGCTGCTGCAAGCCCCAGTGCTGCCAGTCTGAGTGTTGCCAACCCACTTGCTGCCGCCCCAGCTGCTGTATGACTAGCTGCTGCAGGCCCAGCTGCTGTGTGTCCAGCTGCTGCAAGCCCCAATGCTGCCAGTC